GTCCATTGTGGTAAACCAAACGATAATTTAACCTCAAGTAAGAGTGTTTTTTTCTTCGTCCCGATTTGTAAAAAATCCATACGTGATAGATAAAAAATGAATATTATTTTCGAAATCTGTGTAGATGAACTATGGAAAATTCGTTATTAAAACCAAAACAACTTTTATGTAGTTTAAATTTGCAGGCCTGTGTAACCGACACTAAAATTTCTACATAAATATTTTGAAAGTATATTTTTGTGTAGAAATTTTGAATTTTTGTCACAAAATAAAATTTTTCTCTCCGTATGGAGCAAATATGACAATAAAGTCAATATATTTCTAAGAAACTGAATTAAAAGATTCAAAAAATGCGAATACAAAACTTCATAATTAACAGTTTTAGGCAAAGGTTATCCTGGGCTTACACTAAGTTATATTCCTTTCAATGAAAATGTAACACATACATCATACACGACCTTGATTTTTACTCCAATTTAATAACCATGTTCTATATAATAACCATAGGATAGCCATAATCTATATAAAGTGTAACACGTACATCATACAGGACCTTGATTTTTACTCCAATTTAATAACCATGTTCTATATAATAACCATAGGATAGCCATACTCTATATAAGAAGCAGTTTATTATGTAAGATTTTTGCTTGAGATATTTCTGGTTACATATAAACTAGTTACTTACAAAAAATGTGCACATATACACTACTTGAGTGTTTAGTTTGACCAAATATCACAAAAACTTCAAACTTCCTAGTATTAGGAAATAACATCAAGCATATTTTAACACACAGCAAGTTTTGTGTAAAAATACAATATCACAAACATTATTAACAGTGGTTTCATGTCTTAACTAAAAATAACAACACTCACAATACTTTATTAAAAAACGCTAGTCACAATATGTGTATGGTAAAACACTGCACTTAAGTCGCGGAGACCGATGATCTTCATCATATAAGCAAACACCAGAGGGCGCCAAAAACATTGTCAGGAAAAAGAGCAACAAACATAAATCATTGACATGAGATTTAAATTTTAAATCAATTCACAAAACAGCTGAAAGATAATTAGAATTTATAAGATTTTTACTATTACACTGCTAAAATTTTATAATTCATTATTAATGATCTCTGTCAGTTAATTTTTATACAAACCAAGCACATAAAGATCAGTCATATGATTTGACACGCAAGTGATTGGTTAGTCAGTCTGTGTTTTAAATTGAAACTTAATAAAAGTAGCCTCACGTCTTTACAATTCGTTTGTTTGTCGTTAGGCGCAAAGCTACACCATGGGCTATCTCTGCTCTGCCCACTGCAGGTATCGAAATCTGGTTTCAGCGTTATAAACCCTCAGTTTTACTGTTAAACTACTGGGGGGCTATAGTTCATGACATTGCATTTTGGTTCAGAGTAGGATTATAAAGAACAGCAAGGGCAGCCTAGCAGCGATGTTGCCTCTCGGACACTCCTCTGAAAGTGGAAGTCCTCTATCGAGGATATCTTTAGTGTGTAGGGGTTGCTTTAGGGATGCAACCTGTCCCCCCCCCCACCCGTTGGTTTCAAATTTTTCGTCATCAGGACGCTGTGCAAACGTCTTAGCTTGTGTTTGGAGAAATGGCCCGGATATTGCACGTTCACTGTTAACTGAACCACGTGAAGACTGCCTTGTCGAGTTGCGTGTTGCTGGATAATATTTATTTATTGTCCAACTCTTTGGAAACTTTGCGAAATTCGTCTTCGTTATTTAATCAGCAACACAATGTTGACTCAGTGATGGCATATTTCTTCGAGATGGATCCCTGGCTAGCTCCTTTGTTTTTTATCTCAACTACGATGGCGAGCTTTTCAGTGATCCTCTATGATTTTCTATTCTTGGAATTGGTGTTAATAGCAGACATGATAGCAACAAGTACTGACCTTTGGCAACAACAAAAACGGTTTAGATCGCACGGGGCTTAACTGGAGGCCTCAGAGGGGGAGGGAGGATCGGGGCCGCTCAGAAACTGAATGTTCCTCTTCGCCCCACATATTGTACTTGGTAGGCAAATGATTGACTTCTGATGAGAGCCGGAAGAAGGTAGATGCTACTTGAGGAAGTGAAGTATGTGGATAACAGATTTCTTCTTACTACTCGAGACAAACCAACGGCCCCTATCGACTTGTAATCCTTCAGAAAGGCGGGGATCTATAAATCGAATGCCTGGAAAATTTACTGTGGAGAATCGGAAGTGCCCCGAGAAAATCCACTTTCACTGGTCACGCGCCGGATGTTCTACTTGACCAGTACCAGATAAAACCAGAAAATGAAGTAAGGTAAAGTGAAATTATAATGGGAGAAAGGAGTAACGGGTGTGAAAAGAATTGGCTAGTGCAGTGGAGTCTTCTTATTGAGGACACGTTAGAAAGGCGAATTCCGGCTGAAGGGGGGGCTCCGACGTTCGGGACGTCGTCGTCTTCGTTGTCGCTTGGGAAAGGACGTCGGAAGTAATAGAACGTGCCACGCGTCTCGTCAGTAGATACATGGCTGGAAGGCGCAGGTTCGAAGATGTTCGTAAGGCGAGTTAATCGATGCGGCCATGATTCGGAGTGATTATCTGCTTATTTCCTTTATTCTTGGTAGCTGTTCGGGTCTGGGTTTATTGACCGCGTGATGTTCCTGTTGACGTAGGTGTGTGTATGTTGGGTTTGCATTGTCTTGTCTTGTGAATTCTTCTTTTGGTTTGTCGTAATCTGGGTGTGTTGGTTTTTCCATGTTGGTCGTCTGGGTTTATTAGTCTGCGGAAAATGTTGTGTAGAACTGGCGTGGAATATGTGTAGAAGATTTGCCGGTGTAGGTTGGAGGCAGCCGTGATTTGCGATTGGGTCTTTCGGTTTTAAGATGAAAGAAATAAAAGAAACATCCAAGGAAGAGAACATAGCCTGCCATTTACCTGGAGGTGGTTACTATTGTCATGAAGTGTGGTGGCATTCTGCTTCTCTTCGAAATTATTTTGTGAACTACGTGAATTTTTAAGCGTGGATAATTTTGTCTGAGGTTATGGTTTAGTCCACATTCCGTACGAAGGCTAGCGTCGTTCTTGGGAAGTTGACATTTAACTGGTAGTTCTGCAGTTCGCATAAGTAGCGTAAATATTCGCGAGTTTTAGGTTGTAAGAGGATTCCACATATAAGTATGTTTTTTCGTGGCCTCTGGAACTATACGAACTTGTATCTGCGGATAAAGTCCGCAATTTGTCGGGGTGAGTCGTCGTTGGGTAATCCGTCGATAGTAACTGGTGGCGTAGACATCGTCTAAATGGTCTTTTCTGTCTAAAGTTCTAGCAACAAATAAACGTAGAAAATGACAACAAAAAATCTGATCTTTTGCAGTTCTTAGGGTGCCTCCCTAATAGGGGCTAAGCGACGGCCAATTAGAATAAAGCTTCATGGCCAATTCTCTTAATTAATTAATATGGAGAAATTTCATTGGACACTTAATAAATTATTGTAACTGAGTGGACACTCAAAAATTTCGATTAAACACTCCCAATTCACAATGATTAATTAACTTTTAGCTGGATCTGGAATTTTAGAATCCAGGAGAGATTCACGTTATAGCGAGGCCCCACTGTACTATATAAGCTGTTATTGTTTGTAGATAAGCACAGGGCTACACAATGGGCTATCTGTGCTCGGCCCACCACGGGTATCGAAACCCGGTTTCTAGAGTTGTAAGTCCGCAGACACACCGCTGTGCCACTGTGGAGCGTACTATATAAAGTAGACTAAATGACCGGCCAATCGTCTAAATTTCACATTACGACGTATTATCAAATGCCTGATTTGTATACCTGATTTGAGATGAAGAGGTGATTGGCATTATTCTAAAACAGTGACTTTGATTAACGTAGCTATTACGTTTCCTGTTCTAATTATCCTGTAATTATTTTGGGCAGTATAACATCCTTGAAACTGGTAATATCATTTATACAGATTCACAATAAGTAAGGAACTACTACCTTTACTTAAACTATTTTCCTACTAATCTATATATTCCAAGATTAAAAAAAAAATTATAATATATTTTTTTTCATCTTGGTCTAGTCCAAAATGTTAACGTTACACTAACGAGTTTGTAGATTGGTCAGAGATGAATATCCTGAAATTGTAGCCTTTCATTAAGTCAGCATTTTTGTACTCATACATAAATAAGCCATATTTCATACTCGGTCTGGTTTAGAACGTAATAATATCATAAAAACGAAGGATATTGTAAGGTGTATAATGAGAAACCACATTAATTACAGAAACAGATTCTTTTCTAATAGAAGTTTATTAGCCTGTTAAACACTTGAGGTTCAGTTATATTACTGTGATGATGTTTGACTAGTGATTTTAATAAAGTTTTATGAACATTTATTGTCTAGTCTACGAATACTTGATTGATTACAAATATCAACTTTGCATAAAGTATAATTTTTATACGTTATTGATCACTTATAAACTGGGTTAAATAAGAAATATTATACAGTATTTATCTAAAAATAATATTTTATAAATAGCAACTTATTTATATAAATTCAAAACAAAACAGTTTTCTAGAAATTTTAAATTATAATCTGATTAAAAAGTGTGTGTGTGTGTGTGATCATACAAGGGACAGTGGCTAGGAAGAATTGTAACAGTCACAACATATACTCCTTACATTTAAAGATCTTGACACCTACCAGTATCCCCAGTAAACTATGACCATGGTTGTTGTTAAACTTATAACTAATGACTAATGTGTATAAAGAATAGTTAATCTACATTTACCAACATGGCATACACAATATTTTAGACATAATAAATAAGCTAAAGCAGATTAACTTGATCAATATAACATCTTCACTATACAATAACACATTATATTAAAAAGAATCAATCTATTTGGTTATGAAAATAATACATCAAACCCTAATTTTATTCACCAGTTGCCATCATCTTTTTTATTGGAAAGCTAAGTCAGTCAGAGTAATAATAAATCTAAGTTTGCAGGTCCCTGTTTGAAATCCTGTTTTATGTTGAACACACTACTGTAAACAAAAGACAGACGACAGACTACTTGAAAATCACAACAGAACTTGACACTAAAATAAGAAGTCTTGAAAACAATAATTTTTACCAGGCTTAAACAGAGGTGCTTAGTAGCTATATACAAGAAACAGCAGTACTACAACAAATTATTTCATCAACAGAGGTTGTTTGCTTGCAATATCTTCTTGATGGTCACTCGGAAGTTTGGTTCCATTTGGTCACAGATCTCCTGGAAGCATTGTACTGCTAGTTGTTTCAGCTGCCTGGAAGTGGATCTTCCCATTTCACCATATAGATAGATCCCCATAGCCTTGCAAAAAATTAAATATTTGAGAATAACCTGGATCTTCCCATTTCACCATACAGATAGATCCCCATAGCCTTGCAAATAATTACAGAAAGATACTTGGTCAAACCTTAGTGTGACCCGAGATAAAGATGAAGATTTTGTACAATCAAAGAATCTGAGTAACATCTAGTATTTTCTAAAACATTGGATGTATAGATAATTAATTCATAACTAGTCCAATGTATGTGTGTGTGTGTGCTCCTAGCAGGTATATGTAATAAAATTTTTTACTGCACTTTCACCTTTGTAGGTTACCAGTGATGAAGCCTTATTTTCAATTCCATAGGTCATCAGTATGGCTTATGTAGAACACCCAAAATTTAATAGCTGATCTTAATTAACAATCTCATTACTTACAGTATTTTGGTACTAGTGTATAAAGTTAAAATCATAGATAATATTCAACGTTAAACAGGTACACAGTTAAAAACATTTTATTTAGGCCTATCTATGGCCTTCAAAAAGTTTTTGAAGGCCATAGATAGGCCTAAATAAAATGTTTTTAAC